ATTGTAAGACCGACATTTTGTTTTACTTATACACTTATAACATTGACAGTATATAAGCAAGCACACACCACCTACTTTTTTTAAAGCCATCCAAGATTTTGTGCAGTAGAGAACATATATCATGGATACAGTCGTTGCTCGATTTAGGAGTTTCGTATCGTGGGATATCGAATCACCCAATCCACATAGCATGGCATTTGGAGGTTTCGTGCGTTCTGATGGTGGTGTAAATGATGAGAAATATAGTTATTGTGAACACTGTTTATTAATCCTTACAGACGAATTCCTACGACTACATCCAGATCTCCATCCACATCAATATCACCACGCATGCAATCCAGAGTGCTACTTCATCAAGAACTACAAGGATCCCAGGATATTTGACGACTTTGAATCGGAACACGATAACTTACTGGTGAAACATTATCCTCCCAAACATCTTCAGTATTGTCACGTCGAACGTCGTGCTGAAACTTTCAATGAAGAAATGGATCAAGAACTGTCAAATCGTCTCTGCAAGGCTGGTTTTTTTTATTACCAAGACAACTTCATTTGTTTTTATTGTTCCGTTTATATCTTTGGACAAGACATTTATGACGACCCGTGGGAAGTGCACGCCCGTTATTCTCCGCATTGCCCCTTTGTACGAATGCATAACGATCTTTACTTTATCACTCAGGCAGTTTCAAAATATTATCGATCCAATGTGTATTGGGTGAAATATATGACAGAAGTCAATACACTTTTTACATCAGGCGATTTAAGAAACATTGTATTACATTTGCTTCGACTTGAGGACTTGAATTTGACAACTCCACAAAATGTTGCATCCTTTGTCGAGTTTGTAAGATATGGACAATTGCATATGATGTGTATGTCAAACGAAGACTCGTTTGCACAATTTATAAGTTATGAAAAACCAGAGCTTTTTATCAAGGCGAGAAATGTTCCACCATACTCAACTGTGCCGCATGTTTATAATTGCTTCAGAAATATGTTGTATAAAAACGTGAATGTGAAGAAGCCTGGTTTTATACAAACGAATATTCCAACGTGTATTGTTTGTAAAATAAGAGTAGCAAATATTGTTATTATTCCATGCAAACATTGTATCACATGTTTCGAATGTATGTGTATCCTTCGCAAATGTATAACGTGTCGTCGAAAAATCCATTACACCATGCAAATATTTTATTCCTAATATGAATAAATGACTTTATGAGACGATTATCCTTCTGTTCGTTCATTATTTTTAGAACCAAAGCCTATTGAGAAGATAAAGGCTGAAAGGTGTAAAAATGTTTGAAAGTATTATCCACGTGCGTCTTTATATAATAATCGTCCTTGGTGGCGTTGGCGTGAATTTTGTGATGTAAAAACATCCAATGTTTCTCACAGTATCTTGGATCGTCTTTTTTAAGCGTCGATACAGGTTTCAATTTAGTAATCACCACTTTTAACGGATCGGACGATTCGTACATACCCTTGTAAAGTAATGGTCCTTCGTGAATTCGTTTAATGTCAATAACATCGTAAGAATTATCCCACATGGATGTCGAAAAGGTACATTTATTAACATAGGCTTCGACAACTTCGTCTATAAAATCTAATATTTCCTTATACAATATATGAGGAACGCGAATTGTGGAAACGCACAGCACAACGTGGCTTTGAGTGGCACGTAACTCACACACTCTCAAATTCTTGCAAACATTAATAAAGTTAATTATATCTATAATTTGAGTATTGTCATGCTTATCGTTGTATGCAAAAATTAGGTATACAACTTTAGTTTTTACAGGTACAACAGGTGTTAAGTGTTTTCCGCTCATAAAATGAGACATTATGTGTACCCACAATGTGGGCGTGATTATGGTATGCAGTTTGTCTTGATGTTTAAATATAATATTCATATTATGTTTTCTATAGATATCAGACAAAGACGGTACGGTCGACTCAATACGCTTAAACATGATTAGCAACTATGATGTAGCAACTATTATGGTATTCACAAAGTAATTAAAAAGAGGTTTTTTGTTGAAATAAACGATTTATTTATAATTAAACACATCGTACGTAAATTTGAAGTTAAGATCGCGTTTAACGCGAATCTTATAGTTGCCCGAAAGTCTTGCTTGCTTATACACTTTGTAACGCAGGTGAATCCAGTGGGCATCACAGTATACAGCATCTGTCCCATTTTCGGTTTTTGTAATCAATTGACGTCGTACACACTGCATCGTTGAGTCGGGTGATTCGTAAAGTCCTCTATACTCTAGAGGATTGTCCGTTTTTACGTTGAGATTGTCCAAAACGTTGTAGGCACCTCCCCATACACAATACCGCAATCCGTTGGTGTTGATGTAACTTTCCGTTACTTCATCAAGGAAACACAAAACTTCGGTATGTGCAGGGAAGTGGTTTTCCACACACAAAACAATATGATTTTTTGTACAAATTATATCGATTAATCGAAGATTTCGACACACGTTAACGAAGTTGATGATGTCAATCAATTTGTACGTAGATACATTTTCGTTATATAGAAACACAAGGTAGGAGATCTTGGTGGTCATGGGTTTATAGATGCGTGGTAGGTGATCACCGCTGACGAAGAAGGATAAAATGTTCACCCACAACAGGGGATTGATGATGAGGTGCAATTTATCTACGTTTCGTAGAAAGTTGACTAGGTGGAATCTCTTATGGCCGTACATACCGTCCAGTTCCCAGGGTACACACGTTAACATGCGTTGAAACATGGTCTTGTATGAAGAGATTCTGTGAACATCCCTTTATATATCGGCAAGAAAACTTACTCTTCCCTAAAATTGAGAACGGTTTCTCCACTCTTTGCCCAGTGTGTTGACAAACTCTTATCTCCTCTATTTACCTTTTCTTTTGATAAACATGCCAAAGTCCACGTCCCCGTCTTGTAAGATGTATATATGAGAAATATGACTCCTATAATAAGTATGATAAGGAATAACCACAGAAAAAATACTCCGAGTTCTAATTCATACATTCGACGGCGTATTATTCGTAATGCATGAGTCTGAAGAATTGAATACAGCAGTTTCAATTCAAATTCATTTAATGCGTTATTCATCTTTCCTTTTATTCATACTATCTAAGACTATAAGCACACTGCTTATTACACAAAGAGATGGCACCACCCAACATATTGCGGGTATATTTGGAAATATAAAGGGATATGTAATGAATCTTGCTGTCTGAGGAACGAATAACGATGGATCCAGTAACTCTGGAACGTGTTTTGCAAAAAATAAATTCATATGTTTAATCAATCTATTATTTATGTCGAATGCAAATTTAAATACGTCTTCTTTTTCGTGAATACGAATGGCTAATTCTCATGCACTCGGGTCTGGTGAAAAATCGACAGGCAAAAAAGTCAATTTGCGTAATGTATCCACAGCCCCCCCTACGTCCGTCGGTACGTACGCTCTAGACACAACATGAGATAAGGGTTTCGCCTTTCCACCAATGACACTATTCATTGGGAGAGCTGTATATTTACCCGTTTCAAACATCTGTTTCAAAACATGGTGCATCCACACGTCGCACATTTTTTTTGTATTGTTCAAAAATCATATAAAAGCTGGTACACACTACCTCACACGACACATAACGGGACACAATGTCTATTGAAAACGACGTAGCGGACGTGCTCATCTCCACCTGTAGTAGCATATCCTCTGTTCAGAGTACTTACCCAGAAATATGCCCACAACCGTCGGATATCAAATCGTACGTTTATGAAAGACTGCATTACATCGAAAGAGGACACCAGTGCTTCAAGCCAAGACCAGGCTGCATGGAAATCGTATTGGCCTGTTTGGAAATTTGGAACGAAGAATTCGATCTGTACAGCGACTGCAATTACGACGCCTTAACCGAAGCCAACGACCTGTCACATCAAGCTCCTAACCTCGAATACCTGTTGGTGTCCATGCCAAACGCTTTTAATTGGATGATCGACAAACGCATGTTTGAAGAATATACGACTTCTGGTAAAGACACACACCCCTGGACTCTACAAGACATGAGACGCACGTTGTCGTATTGTGTCAGGCCGTATCGCATCTATCACGGCAACAAGATTCGAAATGCCATCGCAGCCGTCATGTTTACTACCACATCGAGGCGCAACCAGGGCATCTTACAACTGCTTCGCAACATGCCATTTCATGTACAAACGGAACTTTCCAAGTTGTCTGCGTTCGTCGAGCCTTCAGTGAAAGCCGCAATACGTGCATTCCTCATGGATTACCTGCTCCGCGGTACCCACAAGCCCAAGATGATGCGGATCTACCAATGTGGACATCATCGAGTACCCCTGATTGTATCTACAACCCCCACAATGTGGTGTCTTGAATTTTATTAAAATTATTTCAACATTGCCAATATGTATACGAGTGGAATTGTATACGGTGCACTTTCGGGTACCGTCGGTAATACGATCTGGGACTCGAAAGTTCGCACATGTTGTATAACTTGTTCCCACGTGTTTAGTGGAGTTGTGTGTTTTAATTCTTGTGGAATGGCACACATACCCGTAGATAAAATTTCGTATTCCGTTATTTCATTTAAGGAATATTCTAACGGTGGTGTGTGTAGTGTGGACGGGGGGATTTTTAACCATTCGTGTCCCGGTATGGTAAATTCGCATTGAATTTGGACATCGAAGGTGAGTAAACTAAATGCGGCAAAGGCTTCCAACGATCCCATTAACATTTCGCAAACAACATCGTGAATTGTCGCCTGTCGTTTAACATTTTCATTTTCAATTATTTGAAAATCGTATGGTATTGGTTCTCCGTTTTCCATGCACCATGCATCAATAGCTGCATTATATTTTACTTTATCGGGATTGAAATAGACGTTGTCTAAATATTTTCTAACTATCAAAGCAAACTTTGTAACAGATCGTCTAGACATTTCAATGGCTGTCGCTAATAATCCGTATAACGTTTGAGAATTGAATCGTAAAACATGTCCAAGATTTGCGTTACGTTTCACTCTCTTATTTTCGACTGTATGAATCTGTTCACATTTTATTGTGTGTCTATAGACAAGAAATAATTCCATATATTCCTCGTCGGTTATATGTAAACGAGTATATTGTTTGTTTAATATAGGGTTCCATTGATTTTGCTTAAAAAATGTTTTTGCAAATTTACCTAAATATGTATCGAGATTGGACGTGTCTTTAAAATTTAAATTACGTTCCACGAGCTGTCGAAAATGTTGTATTGCAGTCCAAACTATGTGTTTCGATGTCATGTTATGTGCTTTGTCGTCGTCCTTATTCACATACATAACGTTGGCATCGGCATTTTGTAACCAATTGGGTAGACCCAATAAATTGTGGAAAAACATATACTTAAGCGAATGATTAGAACCGTATCCAGCGATGGTTGGTGTTTTGGCGAGATGTCCCATCAAAAGAGTTGAAATCGACTCGATCGCCTGGATTCCTCATCTACGAGAAGACACGAAAGCTTTGAAGTTAACAAACATCCCGAATTTGTCCAATCAAGACATGGCTGTGATAGTTGAGAAGTTTCCTCATTTACAAACGTTGTCATTTTCTGTAATATCGGATTTAATGACCGTCGATGCTGCAATCCTCTTGACAACATTAGATCAACTATGTGTACTCAGTATAGACGGTTGTTACTTTATCGATGATCGTGTTTTACACATTTTAATTCGTTCTTTAGGTTCTCGCCTAATATTTCTTCATCTCATGGGAACTCATGCAGTGTGTTTTGACACACTTAAAGAAATTCATGGACATGCTCACAATCTAGAAACGCTACACATTAGTGTTGTTACACAACCAAGCAGAGACGAAATTTGGTTTTTTGTGGCATCTTGTAACAAGTTGCGACGTTTGGTTATCTTTACCGATGATGTAATTGACGAATGTTGCACCTTTACTGGAATGAATGCAAAGAACGAAGAATGTAAAATATCCATTGGAATGTTTTGATATATTTATTCCAAGAAGAACGAGAGACAAATAAAAAGATTTTTAACACAACTTTTTTTGATTTTATTGCACCGTACAAAATGCAAACAAAATACTAGACTGTTTTGCAATTAAACATTTGAAAGCATCGTATCGAAACGGTACACTATTACATATTAAACACACTGTTTTAAGGTGTGCAGATGAATTTGCTAACGATAACAGTGTCACATCAGTTATTTTTTCACACGAATTTATGTAAAAATGTTCTAAATATCTACATTTCGTTATTAGGAATTGAATTGCATTATTAGTCAATTTCGACCCATTTTCGATTTCTAGCGTCGATATATTGGGTACTTTAAGAATTATGTCATATAATAAGGTATCGTTTAACCATTTTCCTCCATAGATGAAGAGACGTCTGATGTGACTAGGTAAATGAGGAATCCAATTAGGAGAACAAAGTTCAACTCTCTTCGTTTTTTCATTCTTTAACATAACTAATATATCTGCAGAACATTCCTTTGTATCGTCTAAAATTACGAATCCAATATTAACATTAATTTTAAAAGAATCTATAATATCTGACCATAAAGTGAAACAATGCAAATCACAATGTTGGTTTCCCATAAAAACGTGTCTCATAACTTCTTCCGCAAATAAAATTGAGCTATTAGGTGCAAGAAAACACCCTTTTGGAAGGTTTGCCGACTGTAGTCCATTACATTTCGGTAAAGTGTTATCGTCGTTTTCACGAAAGTCCATTTTTTCCATTTGTAAAACAATATCAATATCAATATCTTAGAGATCGCATAAAAGAAAAAAAAGTAGAAACTACTAGATATTCTTATGCCAACATGGTATTTTTACCAGTTTCCGCTAGAGTTTAACACTGTATAGTATTGTAAATCGATATCCTTTTTTTATCTTGATTTGTGGGACTTGGATGTCTTGAAGGTGCCACGAGGTTTGGAAAAGTGATGGTATAGGACGCTGCTTGATCTTGCGTATATTCATGGATGTTAGACACATTCCGATGCAGTGAAATTAGAATCCACCGTGGTGGTGGTGCGCCGTTAAGTCACCTAGGTTAGTTGTTATATATACACTTGTGTATACCCTCGCTGCCAGATTATTCTGAATGAGTTTAACGATGAGTATAAATATTATCGTCCTAATTTAGCTAGAGAATTTGTATTTCCTGGATGTTACTATCGACTTTAAAAGATAAATTGAGAACAATGGCGTTTTCAGGAGGAGATGTATTATCATTTCCTTTTGAAATGGTCATGCATAAATATGTTATGTTCTTATTGTACCGTTCGCACCGCTGATTAGTTTGTAGTTGTGAAAGAAATATAGAGATAGGGCGAGAGAGAGAGGGGAGAGAGAGAGAGAGAGAATATGCGAAGAGATAAAAATATGAAACGTTTTCTTCTTGCAATGGCTTATTTATGTCAACATTACAGAAAGAGTGGAAAGGTAACTATACCCTTACCACAGGCGAAGGAAAAAGTGGATATATAACCACCATCCACCAACATCCCATAACATCGACATGGAACAACTTCGCAAGAAACGTTCTGCAAAAGTAGCCTTCGCTACAACTGCTGCTATGAATGAAGATACGCTGTCTACTCCCGGTCCATCACCATCGTATTCGTGGAGTTTACAAGAAGCTGACAACCCACCCACCAAACAGGTTCCTGCGGTGACGACTACTACTAACGCTATGGACGAAGATGGCCGTTCTACTCCTGATCCATCCTGTTGGGATCTACAATCACCTCGTAGCCCCACCATCAAGGACAAGAAAGAAGAAGAGATTCCTGCCACCTACAAAAGGGACTGTGCCATTGCTATCGCCATGACGAAGGAAACTTCTATCTGCGAACCATCATCGTGCAATGGAGACCTGCAATCACTTCGTAAGGTCTTCGACAAAACGGACGGTGCGTTTGCTGCTGCTTCCGAGACTGACAACATCTTTGAGGATGACGACGACGACGACCCACCTTGCTCTGGCATTTCGATTGATTCGTTACCACTTGGAAGTTTTATACGTACTCACGAAAATTGTATTCCATTTGAGGTTTCCCTGTTGGTTATGCAGCATGTAGAGTGCACGAAGTTATGCCTGCAACATCCAGACAGTCATTGGTGCGATTTGACTAATTTGTTTTTGGATTCTAACGAAAATGACAATTTGAGCTTTATAACAAACGTTTTGGATTTGATCGACACTCCAACAACTACGCGTTATATCTATTTGTCGGCAATGCTGCAAGTAGATGATCACACTTTGCAGATGATTGCAGCTACATTTCCGAATCTTTTATTGCTTCATATCCAAGACGGTTCATTGCTGACAAACAAGGCGATGGGAATGATTGCTAACAAATTTAATTTGGAACATTTGTACATTAGGAATTGTAAACTGATGACAAATGTAGCATTGATGTGTCTCGCAGCTGCGCGTCCTACGCTTCGAACGCTTTGTTTAATCGGAAGCAAGAACATGAAGTTTAACAGTTTCCAAAGACTTATTCATATCCAGAAGCAACTTCTTTGTGCGTATTGTACTATTTGATTGCATTGTTGTATAATGTAATGGTTTTTTGCAATGGAAATTATGGAAATTTTTGTATACTATGGTTTGTTTTTACATCTATTGAAATATTGTATAATGGAGTGTATTATGATTGTGTGAATAAAACGATCAATCAACAGCAAACATTCGTTCTTTCATAACTGAAATGAAATCTTTCGTTAGTCACCTTGCGATTAAGGTAATAGCGTCATTTACATTAAACTAAAACATTGTGTAGAAGGTTGTTATTTTGGCATTGAAAAAACTCTCGTGGGGGAACAAATTCTCATTAAGCAAAAAAAAAATATTTCTATTTGACTAATTTGTTTCTGGATTCTAACGAACATGACAATTTTAATTTTATAACAAACGTTTTGGATTTGATCGACACTCCAACAACTGCGCGTTTCACTCAACAGCAAACATTCGTTCTTTCATAACTGAAATGAAATCTTTATTTACTATACTTCGTTAGTCACCTTGCGATTAAGTGAATAGCGTCATTTACATTAAACTAAAACATTGTGTAGAAGGTTGTTATTTTGGCATTGAAAAAACTCTCGTGGGGGAACAAATTCTCATCAAGCAAAAAAAAAAAATATTTCTTTTTTATTAGGACGTTCGCAAACAAAAAACAACACTTGAGGGGGGTCTTTGGTTTATTTACACATTCTTAGGCTAGTCGTCAGCGGAGAATATGCTATGTTTTTTCATATTTTTTTTTATCTATATGACGTGAAGTGTTTGTTGAGAGATAGTAAACCGACTCCCCTATCAGGACGTGTTTATACATGTTTCAAACCGCACCGCCAAGATCGCTAGGTTGCCACCAGAGGTCGCAACGTTGACGCCATGGCCGCCGCTAGGGTAACTTTTCCTATGTCGCTCTGCTCCACTCATTTCTAGTCAGTCCGTTCGGCGCACGGATAAAAAGCGCCGCTAGGATCGCATTGCCTTTCTTACCGCCAGGTGAACGTATACATGCCACCAGGGGGCATGCCATCCCAGAGGGGGGAGCGTATACGCCACATCTCCAGGTATGTTTTTATATTTTTTGTTATAAAGAACTAATATAAATAAAACAGAATCAAGAACTTTTCGATATATAGTTTTTATTACATGTTCATAGTAAAAAAAGACACTTGTTCAATACTATACATATAAAAAGAAAATCATTGAATGCATTTGTACAGAATGTGTGGCATGATATATATACAGAAAAAAATGTAGGGATCACATTACAGAATGCACAAAGGAGTTCTCTGTGGTTTCTGACAATTCTCTGAAAAGTTTTTGCATTCACTTTGTCACCAATTAGACAGAGAGATTTTAATTTCATGTTCGATCGCCCCAAGTAGCGTATTCCTTTGTTAGTCATTCGAAAGTATTGATAAATGACTAGATGTTGCAACTCCCTTAAAGAACACGACACATGTTGACGGTGCCTTCTTCCCAGACTTTACAGACTTCAGGATTAATCTTGTGCACGATAGGATAGGCGTTTCAGCGTGTCTTATTCACGGCAGTGTGAAGTGGGATGATCAAAGTAAAAAAGACACTTGTTCAATACTATACATATAAAAAGAAAAATCATTGAATGCATTTGTACAGAATGTGTGGCATGATATATATACAGAAAAAAAGATGTTGTCCTCTCAATCCCTGCAACATGTGTCGTGTTCTTTAAGGGAGTTGCGAATTTTTATATACAGAAAAAAAAATGTAGGGGACTTATTCGATTACATTACAGAATGCACAAAGGAGTTCTCTGTGATTTCGGACAATTCTATGAAAAGTTTTTGCATTTACTTTGTCACCAATTAGACAGAGAGTTTTTAATTTCATGTTCGATCGCCCCAAGTAGCGGATTCCTTTGTTAGTCATTCGGAAGTAGTGATAAATGATTAGATGTTGCAACTCCCTTAAAGAAGACGACACATGTTGCAGGGATTGATGGGACAACATTGAAGCATCGGTAATTTCGAGAGAAACTAATCTTGGCGCTTTGGTTACAATTTTGTGCAAGAGAGTATCTGTTAAATTAGTAATGGTTATTTTTAGGTGTTCAACGTCTTTGGAGAGATTTTCAATGTATTCTACGGAGTTCAGGATTAATCTTGTGCACGATAGGGTAGGCGTTTCAGTGTTTTTAGTCAATTCCACACTTTCTGTAGTTAGGGAAAATAACTCTAGGATATTATCCCAGTTCACACTGCCGTGAATAAGACACGGATTATTAAAATTTATCAAGTGTCTAAAGACGTTTTCGGCTTTGTTGATCGGAATGATATTACGGTGCGTACGTACGAACGTCCCGGCTGGCAATTGACTGTCTTTCGACTTGTTGCAAAAGTCTGGGAAGAAGACATCGTCAACGGCACTATCAACGTAGTCCATGTTGATGGCGGGGGTACCAGTGAAATCGCAGTGTGCAACAGCCTCAGTGTTGTCCATTGTGAATTTGCTGACATCTTCGTTATTCGAATCTTCGCTGTGGATATAATCGCCGCTTGTGCTGATTGTGGAACTGTTGGAATCTTCTCTGAGATCTGTGATGAACATATAGTCTCTGGCAGTCGTCTCATTTCTGTCGACGCTGTCTTTGATGGTACTCTTCATGGTATTGGGCTCCTCAACTGTTTTTGACCATGCCTTGAGTAATTCTCCAAATTCTAGCAAAACAGTTTCCTGCAAATTGTTCTCCACTTGGCCATGGATACACGAACACTCTGTTTCGGCTTCCACGATAGCATCCACACCTGCGCGATAAAAATAAAGCTATATAGTTTCTTTTACACACTCTTTAAAAAAGTAGAATTCTTACCTCGCATCTTTTCCTCGTCGTAGGAGACTCCGGGAAAAAGATCCGCCAGGACCTTGTACTCGTCAAAGCTGGATCCGTGGTCGTCTAGCATCGGAGTAAGGAAATATTAGTCGTGGGTGGAGGTTTTGTGTGGAAAAGCACATGGTCACGTTTCTACTATAGCTGTATATATAGAGAGAGTTGAGATTCTGCGAGAAGGAGAAGTTATCGATGTTGAACAGGCACTGTTTCTTAATCGCGCAAAACATCCGTTATTTCGAAAACGTAAAAACAACACTAATGGTGGTGTAGACATACTTTTTTTTTAACGGAAAGAGGAGGTTGTGTGTAATCTTTAAGAAAATAAATATCTCATGTCAAGAACATCCCGTCTCGAAGTGTGTAACCTTATATCCGAAGTAAGATAAAACACGTCCATGCCTTGTGACCTCCTCCCCCAACCCCTTACTATATACATTTTCAATGTCACATCTTACTGTAGTTTCTCACGCTGCCAGATGGATGACATCCTGCTATATTTAAATAAACAGATGTAAATGAAATTTTAAACAGTAATCTCTAAACAAGAAGGGTGTGGTGGCCTTGGTATATCACATTTCGTTTCTTAGATTTACAGTGAAGCTTTTTGTGGCTTGTGCGGCAGCCCCTCCTACCATCCATAATTCCTTACTCGCAAAAGTCTAACTAAATCTTACTGTAGTTTCTCACGCTGCCAGATGGATGACATCCTGCTATATTTAAATAAACAGATGTAAATGAAATTTTAAAAAGTAATCTCTAAACAAGAAGGGTGTGGTGGCCTTGGTATATCACATTTCGTTCCTTAGATTTACAGTGAAGCTTTTTGCGGCTTATGCGGCAGCCCCTCCTACCATCCATAATTCCTTACTCGCAAAAGTCTAACTAACTAAGTAAAGTAAATAGAAAAGCATCTACTAGTACACATGTAGTGTAAAAAAATATTCACCTTGCATTCTGTTGACTTGTTGCAGAGAGGCCTCGGCACCGGTCACGTTCGAGGTGGATGCAGTCTGGAAATCCATTTTTCTGTCTTGGCCTTGGGGGTATTTCCAGTATTTATGTGTAAACTCTTGGCTATAGTTATACGTCAATCGCACAAAATTGATAAAAGACTGCAGTAGTGGAAGTAGTTGATAAGAAATGCACATCGACACGCGTCTTTTAAAGATAAACACGCGAGAAACTGTTTTTGCATATTTTTGGGAGCAAACTGGGAAACGAATCATCTTATTGGTCTTCGTAAAATATTTTCTCTAAAAGTGGTCACAATTGGTGGATGGATTTTGGAAGATGAGAGGAGGGGGGTCGTCTATTGGTTTGTGGTTGGTTAAAATATTTGGGGGTGAGAAGGAAGGAAGGGATCATCCTAACTAATCTTTTCTAAAGATTACTAGGAAAATTCCTTCTTTCGCGACCACTTAACTTTTTGTCAATACAGGTTCTACTTTGAAAGCAAAAATGTACACAATGGGGTAGATAGATGGCTTTGGGTGGGGGAGAGGGGGGTATACTAGCTTGTGGTTGGTTAAAATATTTGGGGGTGGGTAAACTTCCTTCGTTCGACCTCTTAACCTTTGTCAATACCGGTTCTACTTTCCAAGAAAACTGTACACAATGGGTAGATAGATGGCTTTGGGGGGGTGGAGGGGGCGGGTGAGGAGGAAGGAAGGGATCATCCTAACTGATCTTTTCTAAAGATTACTAGGAAAATTCCTTCTTTCGCGACCACTTAACTTTTTGTCAATACAGGTTCTACTTTGAAAGCAAAAATGTACACAATGGGGTAGATAGATGGCTTTGGGTGGGGGGAGCAAGAAAAATGTACACAATGGGTAGATGGCTTTGGGGGGGAGGAGGGGTATACTAGCTTGTGGTTGGTTAAAATATTTGGGGGTGAGAAGGATGATTTTTCACAACACCAACAACACTTCGAATCACATCCAAACTCTTATAGACTTCCAAAAATCATTTTTGACAACTACTTTATGCCTTTGCGAACTAACGTGTGGACATGGATTGGTATTCTGAGGGAGATCGTCCATTGGGAGTGGATTGGGTGAGTGATTTTTTTTTGAAAATCATAGTAGGAGTGCATAAAAAATCTAATTTGACTTATTTATATTCGTAGAAACCACCTTTCTGCAACGGCCGAAACGAGATGTTTCCAATGTACGGCGCATATCTCCACGCGCATACCACTACATCTCCGTTGCCGAGACTCAAGAAGTTTTCCGCCATCTTAACATACTGGATGCTGGATGTTCTGACCACTTATGCACGTCATGGAAAGACCTTTGTTATCGGTTGAATGATTTTTGGGAGGGCAATCCTACAATGATGCATCTAGACGATGCACCCAAAAAGAGTCTCATTAAGCGTTTGACCCGAAGGAACATTAGTCGCGTTTTTGTGACCGATTTCAGATGGATGAAATATTTGCCAGAACACATCGAATATGTCGATGCTTCTTTCATCTGCAATGATTTTGGCGATGAATGTGTTGAAGCGCTTGTCAGGAAGTTGCCAAATCTGAAATATTTGAGCCTGTCCCATGCCGAAAAAATAACGAACAAGGGGATCGAAATGATTGCTCAAAAGGAAGCAAACCTGAAACATTTGGCAATTTATAATTGCAAACAAGTTGATGCAACTGCATTGTCTGTTTTAACAAGTGCTAACCTGAGACTCAAGACACTGTGCATAGTCGGTTGTTCAAATATTACCGAGTTCGACTTTTACAGCTTCGCTCAAAACCAACCGGAACTGGAGTATGCCTACTGTACTATTCATTGAATTTCTGTTGTTTTGTTTAATATGTGAATGAAATGAACTTTACTAATGTATTATGTTGTTGTTTTGATTCAATAAGCATCGCTCACTGTTTCGTTTAATATGTGAATGAAATGAACTTTACTAATGTATTATGTTGTTGTTTTGATTCAATAAACATCGCTCACTTGTTGAAAAGTATATTTTGTTTTACTTAAATGAGAATTCTCATTCTATATATATTTTAAAAGTATAAAAAAGGTAAGTACTTTAATATCGTGCATATTTTTATGTTTTCTTTTTGTTTTTCTTGCACCAAGAAAAATGTGCAAAAACCGATGAAATTAAAAAGATTTCATACTTGTAAAGGGTAAAAAAAAGGGGGGTATATAACTACAGTAATCACCAAGCTTACTCTCAAAACTCTGACTGACTGACTTTTTCATATAAGCCAAAGATGGGGGTACACAAGACTTCGGCATCTGGAACATTTGTCAATTCGACAGATTCAAAATATCACTCCAATGGTGTTATCCACGATTGATTATAATATTTGAAACTGAAAATAAACCTTACGATGATTATATTTTTAAACTGCTTTCAAGAGCGGTGAGTGTCTGGGTGAGAGGCTAAAGAAACGTGTATAAAAATGGATGTTCTAAAATGTGTTAATTAAACAATGGAAGAGTATCAGTATCTAAAGACTTTAAAACACATCCTTGAGAATGGGAAGAAAAAAGAAGACCGCACTGGAGTAGGAACAATGTCAATTTTTGGTGTACAGTGTAGATATTCACTCCGGAACGGAACTATGCCTTTATTAACAACCAAACGCGTTTTTTGGCGAGGAGTTGTGGAAGAACTTCTCTGGTTTCTCCGCGGATCTACCGATGCCAAAGAATTGTCAGAACGTGGTATTCACATATGGGACCAAAACGGTTCTCGTCGATTTCTCGATAGCTTAGGTTTTTTTGATCGAGAAGAAGGGGATCTTGGACCGGTCTACGGATTTCAATGGCGTCATTTTGGAGCCACCTATAGAAACTCGCACACAGACTATGGAAACGAAGGTGTTGATCAAATTACAAGACTCGTTGAAATCATCAAAAATGATCCCAACGACCGCCGAATGATATTATGTTCGTGGAATCCACCATGTCACAGTAACTTGTCCTCGCGAAAAAATTAACCGATACGCCAAAACTGTTGGCGGGAGGCAACATGCCGAACCGCTAAAGCGCCCCCGAAAAAACAGGTAGTCTCGACAGTTGGGTGTGTCTTCGTGAAAAACGAGCGGAAACGCTAAAGCGCCTCCGTCTCCGAAAAAATAACCTTGACAGTAAACACGTTTCCACGGGATGCGGCGACTCGACGTCAAATCGGGTAGGTAAAAAAATATAGCGGCGACACTCGAATCGGTCCGGCAAACGAAAAAAACGGAGGCACCAACATGTCACCAGTGTGAAAAGTGCCCGAACGCTAAAGTGTCTTGGGAACAAGAGAGATGCAGACATTCAAAAGTGTTTTCGGAAAAACGAGCTAGCGGAAGCGCTAAAAAGCGTCTCCGAAAAACAACGAGTGTAAGCAGTAAGTATGTTTTCGTAAAAAAGTAGCGGAACCGCTAAAGCGCCCCCGTTTTTCCGAAAACAACCTCGACAATAAAAATGTCTTCATTGGGAGAAGAAATAAAGGCAATACGCATTTCGATTTTTCAAAGACAATTATTTATTGTGACAAGCTTTTACTCTAGCGCAAAGGGCTCAGCGTCTTCAGATGCATCTGTCAGCTTCACCGGGAACAAGAAATAAGGATCACGATCCTTCACAGCACAAACAAACACGTCCACACTGCAGGGTGATGTTAACGCACACCCCATACGCAGAAATTGAAAAACCTTTTTTCTTGTTTTTTGAACCTTCAACAGAAGTTCGATGGCCGGTAAACACATGGCCCAATAAACTTGAGATGAACGGTATTCAGATACAATTCGCTCTATATCTTGTTCACTCTTGTGTAGACGAAGATAGGTGCAATTCGGCGCTTGTTCGGCATGTAGTTTTCAGGGATTCGTTTCAGCGTCGGTGATGTACACAGACACTCCGCAGTAGAAACACGTGCAATCAGTGGTTGCGTCTACCCGAATGCTTGAGGAGTTGAAAAATCCAGCTCTGGCATAGAGGATCCATTTGTCGTCGTCATCGTCGTCGTTGTTGTCGTTGCAGAAAGTTGAAAGTCTGTTCGCTTCCAATTCATATTGGGCGTAAAGTGGTTCTCCAAGTCTCGGCTGTGCAAATCCTTCAAAGATGCGAGGGTCCTTGTACGTTTGGATGAACTTGCAGGTTGGCATAGCAGTAGCGTGAAGCTTGTGGGGGTGAATGCCTTCTCGATCTTTGAAGTAATAATCAGGTAGCACAAAATTGCAGTGCAGACACATGCTGACATCCGATACGTGGATAAAACCACCGAAGGCCATACTTTTTGCATTCGGACATTTGAACTTCCAAGTTTTAAAAGTATTAAAACGCTTCACTACTTCTTCCATCTCGAGTCTTGGTTAAATGTTGCCGAAGTGGTCCACGATCCCTCTATATATATATTGGGGAGTCTTTCCTCCTTTCCCTGTCTGAATAAGCAACAAAAACAATCTATGCGTCATTTCACAACACGAGGTTTCTACAACAAATATTGAGGAGTCTTTCCTCCTTTCCCTGTCTGAATAAGCAACAAAAACAATCTATGCGTCATTTCACAACACGAGGTTTCTACAACAAATATTGAGGAGTCTTTCCTCCTTTCCCTGTCTGAATAAGCAACAAAAACAATCTATGCGTCATTTCACAACACGAGGTTTCTACAACAAATATTGAGGAGTCTTTCCTCCTTTCCCTGTCTGAATAAGCAACAAAAACAATCTATGCGTCATTTCACAACACGAGGTTTCTACAACAAATATTGAGGAGTCTTTCCTCCTTTCCCTGTCTGAATAAGCAACAAAAACAATCTATGCGTCATTTCACAACACGAGGTTTCTACAACAAATATTGAGGAGTCTTTCCTCCTTTCCCTGTCTGAATAAGCAACAAAAACAATCTATGCGTCATTTCACAACACGAGGTTTCTACAACAAATATTGAGGAGTCTTTCCTCCTTTCCCTGTCTGAATAAGCAACAAAAACAATCTATGCGTCATTTCACAACACGAGGTTTCTACAACAAATATTGAGGAGTCTTTCCTCCTTTCCCTGTCTGAATAAGCAACAAAAACAATCTATGCGTCATTTCACAACACGAGGTTTCTACAACAAATATTGAGGAGTCTTTCCTCCTTTCACTATCTGAATAAGCAACAAAAAAAAAATCTATGCGTCATTTCATCACAAGAGGTTTCTACAATAATAACAGAAACGTTTCGAATAAAGAAATGTAAAAAGTCAATGCGTGTGTGTATATATATGTAGACTCTATGCGAAAGTTGCCATCTTATACTTCGATATGGAAGGAGTTGTTACTCGTTTTTGGACGTTTAAAGACTGGCAAATAACAGCCCCCACCGCAAGGAGTATGGCCTTTGGTGGTTTCATTCGTTCAGCAAAGAAGAAATGTAGTGTCTGTATTGATTGTGATTTAATTCTACCCGACGAAATACTCATGAAGAAAACAGTTCATCCTCACAAATTGCATTGTGAAATAATGCCGAATTGTACCTTCGTCAAAACATTCCAAGATCCTCGCATACCCCACGAGTGTATAACGATTAATATCATGGAGGATGGTCCAATTCACCCAGCTTTTCAACAGGAAAGACAAAGATCATTTTCATTTCCCAAAAACGATGAAGACGCCCAAGCATTTGCGGAAGCTGGATTCTTTAATAGTCTCGATAAGAGCGGTATCACATGTTTTTATTGCGGCGTCAACGTGTCTGACTACACCACAAGTGAAAATCCCTGGGAGATCCACGCCAGAAGTTCATCGAACTGTGCTTTTCTTCGCATCTACAAGACCAAATCATTTATTACCAAGGCAATCGTAAAATATCGAAGTTCCGACTGGTATTGGGCAAATCATTTAAAAGAAATGAAAAGTATTTTTGAGACACCATGTACGAGAGAAATAGCGACAAAGATTCTCGAAGTTGGTGTTAATTTATCGTCACCTAGAAATGTATACCTTTTTCTGCATACGGTGAAAAAATTACGACCAACGTATTTAGCACCGTTGGAGATATTTTATCCAGCTCATGATTCCATGCCCTATAAACATAAAGAGAAAAATGGAAAGGAAAACAAATTGATTCGACTTTGAATAAACATTTTTTATTTCCTTTAAGGCTTGTGACTGTCTCTTCCTTCTTTCTCCTTGTTGCAAGACACGTATGCACAGCATAGTGTTGGGTGGCATTCAACTAGGCGCTTTACATACTTTTTAGACACACTGTAACATCCTGCAATGCAAAGTGTTTCGAGTGACGTTTCTGATAGTCGTGACAATCCTCGATCGTTCAGCTGACCGTAGTCAAAAATAACCAAATGTTTCAGGAATCTCAGTTTGGACGCAATCTTTTTAAGCGACTTGTTGGTAAGAAGCGATGCATTATTAATTTCAAGTCTTTCCAAATGCGGATTACCCTCAACCAGTCCATAGACCATGTTATCGGTAACTTCATCAAACATCACACGTACATCTATCACGTTCGGTGGTATATGACACATACAAGCGGACATCATCACTTGCAGCGAGGTACAATTCACAGGTGCTTCGTCACCCTCACTCGGAACCTCAGACATTACAACGAGGCGCTCTTCTAAGGTCTTGTTACATTCGGCGATGATGTCATCCCAAGAAACATTAGGACGTACTGGGCAGACATCACCATCGTGTACGTTGTCAATATGTTTAAAAACGTTAATAGCCACCTCGTATGCAATGGGATTGTTTTCTCGTTTTAGGAATACTTCATCCGGTAAATCCTTACGTCCGTTACATAAACGATTGAACATATTAAAAGCATCGCTACTTTCATCGTCATCGCTTTCGATTTCATCAAACAGGGGCAAATAGTTAATCTCACTTCCACAAATATCTCTTCCTGACGTCGGGTCTGTCATAAAGTTGTCAGGAAGGAGTCCTGTTGGTGGCATCATGGTATAGTAGTTTCCACTTTCATCCTCTGTCAAGCCCACCGATCCAGGACTGGCATGTAGCTGATCGTCCGTTGTGACGGTGTCATCCAGTGTGGGAGTCGGAGGTCGTTGCATGTCCAAGGTAGTGGGATCGTCGTTCAACATTTTTAAAGACTCGTATATTAAGTCTATTGTAGTAGCGTTCATGGTATGAATTGGTGGAGCGGTCTTTATATATATCAAGGTTCTTATTTAGCATCTATTGTTCTCTCTTATATAGAGAGAAAGACTTTGTCAATATTATGAATGGATAACAGATAATGATTACAAAACGGAGAACAGGTAGAAAAGTGTTTATTATACACGATCACTCTGGGATTGTACAATATGCACATTCAAGAGTGGGATGTGTTTCTGTTATTTTATGAAAAACAGTTTCACTCATACATTTTCCTCCCACCAAAGCAAATGTCTTCAAAGGTAGATTCGCGTTAACAATGTGTTCCAATCCGTCGTCGTTCATAGATGCACAAAACAATACACATAAATGACGCAAATTCTTAAACGAAGATAATATCACCTTTAAACAATCATTTGTAAGCAGACGACCATCGTCAATTTCTAAAGTAACCAAGTTGGGTACTTTGGTAGTCAGAGCAGTTACATCGGCATCTGTAACATTTTTAGAATACATGCGCAGACGCTTAATTGTAGGCAATAGACTTGGTATCCAAGCTGTACTCATCATTTCAACGTGTCCACCCATGGAAGTGACGTTTGTATTAACCGTATGTTCATACAAATATGAATGTCCAATGCCTTGGTTTTCCGGATAGAAATTAGCAACATTCCGCCAGTTGGCGAAAGTATGTATTCTGCAAATAAAGTTTAGCGTTTCCATATGCCAAAAAATTTGACGTACACAATCTTCGGAGACAGTGTTATTGTGTTGGCGGAAATAAGTTCCTTTCACAACATTGCGTCCAATGCACATATCCTCTTCTTCGTCCAGAGTGTTGTTGTCAGGAACTTGGCCATCGTCGTCATCCAGAGATTCGATGCTGCTGATGCTACTCTCACTCAAGATGGACATCCCGTCGTCTTCAATGTCAAAATCGATGTCGTTGATTCCAATCACACTTTCTGTGTCGTAGTCCGAAGACGGTTCTTTCTCCAAGAAACCCCTCATCTTTGACTTTGACAAACACACACGCATATATATATAGTGGGTGGAGTGCGGAGAGGGGTGGTAAAGAGCGAGAGGTGGATGAGGCGGAGACAAATAAACATTCAGAACTGTAAATATTTAACTTACAGAAACAATCGGCACTGTTTATTGATACACTTCAATTTCACCATTCTTCGAAGTGTTTTATAAGTTTACAGATGCTGTAATAGGTTAGTTGAATAATTATGAAGTAGAACAGTACGAACATATCAAGTGTGGTAATCGATCTACAAGATTTAAAAATTCTGCATGAGTCATATTGGTGTTCCCAATTACACACAATGTTTTTAAACGTGTAAGAAGACGCGTTAAATTTGGTATTGAATTTTCGTGAAGATCGGCACTGGTGTAAATACATAAATGTTCTAGGTTTTGTAGACTTGATCCAATGCTGGTTATTCCAAAATTAGTAATGTGCGATCCAGGTCCAATTTCCAGGGTGACCAATTCTGGTGTTTTCCTAGCTATAATTTTTAGTATTTCGTCGTTCATGTCATCCATACAAACGCGAACAATGTTCCTTGGTAAATATTGCAACCAGGAAGGAGACTCTATAATTAAATGTCGAAATCCGTCATTTTGTAGCGAATTGATGTGCGGTTCTTGAATGGGCATATCTTTTAAGCAAGCAACTTGGCTGTCATCGATACCATCGTCAAATAGGTCTTGAATACTTGTCCAAGTCGTTCGTTCATGAGATTCGCAAGGAACGTTCATGTTTTCTACGTGCATAAATACTTCGCATGCATGTTCAAAGGTTATAACGTCGTTTGGATTTAGTAGATAAGCACTTCCCGGCAAATTATTCGACGACAGTGCGTTACAATTTTCAAAGGTCTCGTCTTCTGGAGAGAGATATCAACGCTTCTGTGGTCGTGGATGACAAAAACAACATCACCGATCTCAACAACAACGACATAGAAGAAAATGAAGATGCAATTATTGAAGTTGTTTTGTAAACCTTAGCCGATTGAATTTATTCTTGTTAATAAATAGTTGAAAAAGAAAAATGTTTGGATTGCATTCATTTAAAAAAAAAACTCTCGGTATAATAGAAATCTAAATAATGAGAGTAAAATAAAAAAAAATCATAATGCTTTATTTATGTCATAATTGGGGTCGTGAGGGACAATCTGGACGAGGGCCACGATGCGATATCTTTTATCTTCAAATATGAACAAATCTTATCCAAACAGTCGTAATTTAAACAATCGATTTGACTTTCCTGTTTATCTGTTGGAAAACAAGTTATTACACCGCTCGAGATTCCTGTTATAGCTAAAAAGTTTGCGCATATGTACCGTTCTGCACGATATTTTACTTCTCGAATGTTTTCATCTTTGATATAATTATTTAATATTACGTTAAAACTCTTTTTGACACAAAATTGTTCGTATAAAAATGGTGGAAGTCGCCTTACACCAAATTTACATGGATCTATTGCAAACTGTACTGCTGTGTTAATAAACGATGTATTGCGTCTCAAAATATTTCGAATTTTATTAATTGTTTTCGTGTGTATAGGATCATAATCCATTAAAATAGATCTTATAGAAATATTTGAAATTATACAACGTGCAATGTTTTTGAAATCGTCTACGTGCGCGCGGATCGTACCGAAGTGTTCCAATGTTTCGTTGCTTTTTAACATTTGAATAAAATGTGTAACGACATTCCTTTGAAATTTCATATCGAAATGCGTTACTATTCGATTTTCCCCCAATTCTTTCATTATTACAAGTGCCGGAGCGCTCGAAACGGTATACGTAATTAACCTAATTTTTTTAAGCGTTTTACTCGTAGATAAAACGCCTGAGAATTCTATAGCCGCATCTTGCTCCAAGTGTGTATTTAATTCCATATTAATACTTTCTAATCGAACTGCACTTCGAAGAGCCAGAAATAATTGGCGAAGAAAGTCGTTATCGATCGTTCCTTCGTTTACATTACATATGTTCAAATGAGTGATTCCATTTGAATTGTTAATGATGCTATTCGAAATTCCTAACAATTGGTTTCCGTTATAATTAAATCGTACACGGGGATAAACATTTTGAAGTCTTAGAAATTCGTTTAAGCTTACATCAACTGGTGTAGAATGAAACCCTAATTCTGTAATGAAATTATTTTCATTTAACGCAAGAATCAAAAACATTATACCGTTGTGTCCGAAATTATTTTTATCGAGATTAAGTGTACGAAGAGTGGAGTTGGTTCGGAATGCATTACCTATCAATACAGCTGATTGGAAATCAAAATTGTTTTTACTCACGTCTATCTTTCTTAAAGATTTATTCATCATAAGCAATCGAGCAAAAGGTTCGGTCGTACTACTATCCAAACCACACTTGATCAACTTTAATGTCTCCAAGTTTTCGTTGTGACAGAGAGCGTTTATCAGAGACCATGCATCATTTCTCACAAATGTAGACCCTTCGATGCACAGCCTTTTTAAACTGACGTTAAATGTCAACGAACACGGTATGTGATTCATTTGTAAACCTATTAAATATTTTAAAGATAAACTTTCGAGTTTACATTTATTAATTACCAGCAATTCCGCAATTGCTCGCAGACCCTGGATACCTATCAGATTGTTGTGTAATTTTAAAACTCGTAGTTTATCGTCATGACATAAATTGACCAAAGCTTTATCTAAAAGGAATCGATTATTAGACAATTTTAAAGTATGAATTTTACGTTGTGCCAACATATCACCAAACATATCAGTAACGTTGGGAGGAATTTCGATCCCATTAACATTAATACATTCTACTGTTTGTAATAAACTAATTGCTCTCATAATTTCGTACGGCGTGTTTTCTCGTAACTTATTAAGTGAAACAGATACATTGCGTACACCAGAATTATTTAAAATTGCGTCACTGAGAATTGCTGGATGGATTGAACTTTCAGAAATGTCAACTGTAACGATACAACTATGGATGGTGAGTAAACGATGGATTAAAATGTATGCGTCGTTTGCACGAATGTTTCTTTCCAATTGTTTACACTTTTTGAACGATTGCATACATAAAGTTTGCGAAAAACTCTCTCTCAATTCAACGTCTATATGAGATAATATATCATTTAAGGGAGAGGTCACTCGTAAAAGCCAACACCCTGAATCATTGCCGTGTGTACATGGTGTATTTAGGTATAATCCACACGTTGCTAAATAGCGCTCTACTCTCAGATACGTCTTTGCAAGAAATTTTAGACGGGGTAGTTCACGACATATGCTTCGCAAATGCGACGCATAATCTTCGTGACGTTGAGAAATTGTACACATCATTTTTAATAAATTTGTTTTTAATCTAATCTAAGGTACATTTCCGAACCGAAGAGGCCAAAGGTGCTCCGTAATGGAATCAATTGTGGTAAAATAATTTTTCGTATCCAAGTCAATTTTTAAAATTGATATACACTCGGCGCTGGTTAATACTTTGTCTATTAAAGTAAAATCACTTTCATTTCTTTGTATCAATTCCTTTGCCAACGGTATTATATGTGGGTTTCGACGTTCGTCGTCACGTGCTAAAACGTGTACGTATAACAACGTAATGTGACGGAAACTAACGATTGATAAGAAACGATTAATTTCTAAGTCTATGTTTTGTTGAACGGAATCTCTAATGTATACACCCATCGCTGCCAAGTTTAAATCAGTAGGTGGTTTTTCCAAATAACTTGCGATATTGGTACGATACAATGTTTCTATTATTATTTTCCAAACATAATAACTTCTCGTGTACTTGCTTACGTAGGCTACTAAATCTTCATCCTTTCTTGGACGTGTGAGAGTGGATATATCCTTGAAAGAAATTTCTTGAAATATGAAAGGATTATATATATCGATCAATCCCCCGTGCATCTTATTAATTATTTCAGAATTTCTGGCTACAACAAGCCCTTCTCTATATACATCTGTGAATAACAAAAGGATCGTAAGTAAATCGGTATTCATTAGGTAATGTCTGTAAAGAGGTAATAACGAGCCATTATTCTTTACGCCTACCATAAAAGAGAGAAAAGGATGAAATGTCTTTCTATCTTTCAAAAATTCGGTTGATAATGGAGACGTAGCTGTAATTAGATTAATTAAACAATTATAATGTATGTCATAAGCACATGTATTAGCATATAAAAATTTAGAATATTCATCAATATTGGGACGAAATTGTTTATGTTGACTCACAGCCAACAAAATCGTAGCTGTGTTGCCGAGCGCAGCACGTACGAATGCTCTATTTCGAACTGCTAAAGTGAATCTCCGTTGAAATTGTGCAAAAAGTGTCACATCAAACGGGGAAGCCTTTTTGAATTCGAATGTTGGAAAAGACGTGATGATTAGATCTGAATTGTACGAACATAACGGTTCGTTCTCGTATTTAAGTAACACTGGATCATTCTTTGTATATATTGCATCTAGCGGAAGCAAACTGTTGGGGTTGTAATTTCCGAATAAAGTTAAATTACTCTCTTTTGTCAAAACAAAATTATACAGCATACCTTGTCGCATCAAAAATGTATGACATTTTTGGGGAGTGAATTCGCTTACCATGAATTCAATTGGAGGTATGTATATCATATCGTCGCTTCCTAATGTGACATTGTATTTTTCATGAAATGTTTTACGAATTATATCATCGTATGCGCGATGTACTGGAGTGTTAATTATGTGTGCAGTACACATAAACGACGAATGCGAAATGCCACGAATGACGTCTCCATCCGATGTGATCACGTCTGGTGCAAAAACGAATGGATTCAGAAATTTACGATTATTCTTTACGTTGAGGCATTGAACATTAGTCGTATAAAATTGATGTCCATATATTCGTAAAAGTTTCAACGAAATGGCAGTGTGTTTTTTCATTTTAGTGTGTTCGGTCGTAGTATCGAAGAAGTATAGCCATTTTAAAATATTGAACATTTTCGCATTATCAGCTATTTTTTCAGCTTTGTCAAATTCGAAATGCATACAAAATAGTACAGTCCAATGTATGGGGTTATCGGTTTCGAAATTTATCACGAATCCGTGATCGAGGTAGCTAATACGCATTAAGGTCAATCTTTTTAAAGCTATGATATCGTCTATAGGAAATGTTTCCATTGATTTGAAATCATCACCCACCTGTACTTCGTATTTAATGTGTCCATTTTGTAAAATCTTGATTATACCGTACCCCACATTCTCGTTAAAGAGTAAAAAACATGCGCCTCTGCAATATTTATCCATATCCGATAAAGTATACATTCGGATCAAACTTCGGCGTCCTAAAGGTGGATTATCCTCCAATATGTTAGGTACATATCGTCGAAGCGATCTGCTTCTATGTGGGGTGAGGGGCAGGTATTCGGAATATCTAAATAGTAATTTATTTCGACCGTGTAATAAATTGGATTTAATGATCGATTGTATATCGTCCGTGGACACGACGGGTTCATCGGATTGTATCTTAGTCAGAGCTAGTTCATACTCCGATTCTGTTTTTTCCTCTTGAACATTGGAAGTATTAATATCTGTAGTGACTTTGCCAACATCATCACTAGTACTAGATGCAAAGTCTACTCGTCGTTTCGCTGGAGATTTTTTAGGTCGACCTTTCCTTGTTACTGGATCTTTCGGAACAGTTAACACGTTATGCGATCGTTTGGATCCAGTTTTCATTAGTGATGGCGAAGTTTCACTTTCAGAATGTGATGTAAAATTAAGTTCCCTTTCTCTGTTCTCGTGACGTGTTCTTTGAATTTGGTTATCTTGGTCATGTTTCAGTTGGAGTGCGTGTTTTTCAGAAGTCTGAGCGTCTAAAAGTCCTATACTCTCGGGGTCTGCTGTTATTTGTCGTTCGTGTTTACTTTCTAAAGCGGCAATCTCCTTTTGATGTAATCTACTCAATTCGTTGCGTTCTCTCTGCAATTGATCTAATAATATGGCTATTTTTTCGTCGTTTGATTTTTCTGGAATGTTTCTACAACTACGCGTTCTCGTAATGAAGTCAATTCTTTCCTTTAAAATATTTATATGAGTTATATTGTTGTAATAATCTTCTATTGACTGTACACGCGCTTCTGGAGTCAAATTACTCGCTAATGGACCGAGAAAGTTATTGCTTATAATTGATAACTTGTTCTGCATTTCGGCAATCTCACCTCGTATTGTAGAGATGACGGTAACATTCTCTACGTGGGCCACATTGCCCTCCACGCCTGTTCGATTTGCCGTTGTGGTATTTGTATTTAATTGTGATGCGTTTATCTGCCCCCCACCACTTGTATCCCCCTGCCACGGACGTGTTATAGTCATCTCATCTTGTGATAAAAAGGTAATTTTAAATGCAGGAAAATTAACGGGTGTTGCATACGTATCGTTCATATTAAAGTTTACACTCAATTTAGCAATACATTCCGGTGTTTGGCTTTTCATTATCGCACCGATATCTCGCAAGATGAAAAGCTGACGCACAGAATTGTTATATACCTTGGACCCTTCTTCATACGCGGAGCGTAATGCATTATATTGAGATAATTCTGGTAGATTCATAACTACCATCGGATTCGAAACTTCCATTCCATTATGCGCATGCACGAGTACTAGATCTCTGCGATAATCGTAAGCTTCGCTTCGTTCTATATTCTGGTATAGATTGGCTTTAATTGCGCATATTTTTAAATAAATGTTGTTTAGTTCCACCCCGTATTTTTGCGCGATTACTATAATTTCCTGTATAACTTCTCTATTGTAAACATCTTTAAGTCTTTCCAATTCTTTTAGTAAAAAGTCGAGCAATCTGTATTCATTCTCTACAAGCGGAAGAGGACGACTTAGAGTGCTAGTTAATAATGTAATGTTTTCTGTCAATGTGCGACGACCCTCTTCGATTTCAGCTTGGGATGGAATTTTAATAAAGTATTCACCTTCGGCGACATTCGCTAACACACCGAACGAGTTGGGACGTTCCATTGCCACTCTTGGAAGTGCACTCTTAAATTCCCTTTCGATACGTTCGCTCGCGCGTGTACCTTCTGCATGTCGTAATAATAAAGCGTACTCGGGATTCTCGCCTTCGATTAATGAGCTTTCGCTGCTTAACGATTCTCTAACCGATGGTAAGGGGTTGTCACCAAAACGGAAGGAATACTTATTTGCAGGAAATATATCGTTTTGTCTATTACCGCGTACCACGTTTTCTCTGATCGGGTTATTATGAGTTGTCTCAATTATTCGAATAATCTTATCAGTATATGTATTTAAATCGCTTTGACATCGCACGGCCACGTGGTTTTTACGTGGCACATCAATTTCACGAATATTGATATCTAACTCTTTTTTAGGAATGATTCTCTGTTGGAGAAACGTTTTATAGCCAAGCGGCATTCCGTACGTTGGATACACCACGTCTGGTGTTTGAAGATCGATTTGATACTGATGTTCTCTAATCCAAGATGAATCCGCGTGTGGATGAGATGCATGCCATACATCCATCACGATTTTATTACAATCTCTCGAAAGTGTATGACGTGGATGTGCTATACCAACCAACTCTGTTAACGTTTCTATACTTTCCGTTACTGTTGCGTACACTTTACGTACTTGTTCTCCCATCGTTTCTAGGTCGATTACACCGCCTAATAACTGTTCTAGTTCATCGTCGATCGCGTTGTCTAAAGTATCGTAGTCCTTCGTGTTATCTATGTGATCTCTCATCATATCTATTGCTTCTTCTGCACCGACTATGGCTGTGTGTAACATAAAATAATCTTCTCTATCCTGTAAACTTGTTTGCGATGACAATATAGATGGATCCACTTCCGTAAAAGTATTTAGTTTGTCGGTCGATTTAATAGCACTTAACATCTCGTTATTATCGTACTGAGACATAAGGAGAAATAACATCTTTCTATTAAATAACGAGTGGTGTTTAGATATCGATTTATATTCGTCGTCATTTACGTTCACATTGACTCTCATTGACAGTAAAATTAATTTCCACGCTGCATCGATAGTCATCAGTTTACCCAAGACTTTTTTACGTATAAGAAACAAACGTAGTGTGTCTTGTAAGAGTAGATGATTTAATGATTGTACCGTATCTACTTTATTGGGCGACAATAGATCGTCGTTTTGGGCAACATTTATTGAATTTATAAAATCGTGATTTATGCGTGTTAATGATTCTTTTTTTGCGCGTTTAAGTATGAGACGTAAATAGCGAACAATCCAATCTTGGCGATTCAAAAATTCTGTTCGTAAAAGTTTCGTTAGAATGCACGATCTTTCAATGGAAATTACATTCGATAACATGTGCAAATACTCAACTACTTTAGATCTTGTCTTTAATTTTCTCAATTCGTTGGCGAATAATTCTGTGTCAATAGCTTCAATATTGTTTATGAAATTAGTAATAAATGCAATGATTGGATTTTTATCATTCCGTATAGAATTGTTATATCCTATGCGTATTGCATAACCCATTTTTAATTTGAGATCGAATTCTTCAATTTTTCGCGGATTTAAATAGTCTAATAATCTCGGTGGGTATAGACAAATCGAGTCGTGTAAGAAATTACTCCATTGATATAAAGTCTGATCAAAAGTCGTAAATGGAGATGGAAAAAATACTAACTTATTCATTACTATTGTAGTTAAAATGTTGAAAACAGTTTCTTCCGAGCATATGGCATCGATATGTTGGTTTATATTATAAATGAATGACATTGGCCATTTACAGAGACGCTCGTGACGTTGAATAGATAGGTGCAGGCTTTCGGGTGTACCCACATTCACATCAGGTATCTCCTTAAAAATCGAATAATTAGTATTTACTAATGTAAATGGTGAAAGTTCTTTCGCAAAGTCTTTAAAAACCATGATCAATCCAGAAAAGTATCGCATAAACAATCCACTACATCTATGAATGTCTAAAGAGTTTTCGAGTTCGAGTAATAAATTTTGTAATTCGGCCGGATACACCATTGCATGAGCTGGTGTTCTGGTATATACCGTTTTTAACTCGCAGTAATCGTATAACATTAGTATGACGTTGTCGCAAACGTTCCAATTCTGAATCTGATCTCTAGCCACGTAATTGAACAAATTACGCGTGCTCGTCACAAAGGTATTCAGTGGGAGATCTTCGTTGCTACCAACGTATTGACTGAGTTGTTTCAAAATTTCGCGAGTTACATTTGTATTTACGTCTCTAATCATTTCCAATATGTATTTCCACGCTAAATGTAATACGTGACGTTGATTATAAATATTAATCTCTGGATATTCTGTAAGTGGTGGTAGCGAAACGAGTTTGCGTATTGACGCGAGTGCATCGAGTTTTTTGTCGTCGAGAAAAAACTTTTCGAAACAAATAACGGCATGCGTACGAGGTCCAACCACCGAGTCTGGGTCCTTCAGTCGTTGATACAAAGCAGTCATGTCTTTGATATAATTTTCGAAAACAATTTGTCGCGAAGTGGTCGAGTGTATAGAGCGCATCAGACGATTTAGCGATGAATATAACATAATTAAGGGATTTTCGTCTCCTAATTCTGAGACATTGGTATTATACAAGACGCATTGACTATACCTAGTGGATAAATACCTGAAAATATCTTTATAATTATTATCCTCTATTCTTTCAGGATTGCGCGCACAAGTTACGATGAGATTGAAAATTTCAAAAATATTTTTGTGTGCTTCGTTTTTCAAATTGAAGTAGTAGTATGCATCGTCAAATATATTTTTCAATGCGCGTGGCAAATACGCGTATCGATATTCACTATAGACCAATTCGTATCTGCTTGGAATATGTGATAATAAAAATTTACGACTTGGAAGTGTTACGAGATGACAGATTTTTCGCGTTAAGGCCTGTATATCGTTAATAATATGCGGTTGACGACTACAATTCACGCCTGCCACAGGGATTGGCGTATCTTCGTCTCTAATCAAATCTGTTGCAACTAGATCCCACACGTTGCGGGCTAATTCGCAACTTGATACCTTTTCGTCGATAAGTCTGAATGTGGATAAAATTTCGAAAAATTTATCTTGCTCGGAATTGGTGTGCAATATAATGTATATTAAATCTAAAATCACGTTGGCAACTTCGTATGGAATGTGTTGTAAATGAATGAAGCATTTATAAAACGGTTTCACCTGACGCAATTTTTTACCGGAAAAGACATTACCGATTAAGTCTATCATTTCCATTAATATCTGATATACGGCCGATCCGTACTGTGTTTTAAAATTTACTACGTCTTCGTCATTAAACGAAGATTCAAAAACTTTAATTAGTGTCGTCCACATTATTTGGATAATTTGATCGAGATCGTCGCGTGTAGATCGTAGAAATTGTAATCGTATTAAGCAACGAGATAAAGAAAATGCCGCATTAGTACTGTCTGTGTATGTTTTTAAGCATTCGATACCTTTCACTAAACTATTGAAAGCAGATTCGTGTAATTCGTTAATACATGTGATGTGGTCGTACATTCGATCTTTAGCAATGGCTAATATGTTGTAATATACAATGTCTCCTCTAGCGTACATCTCTTTGTATAATTTTAGGAATGGACTTTCCTGATTCTTGGTTAGATAATCGAAATGATCGATAATATTTTGCTGCATTGGATCGGGATCATTCGTTGTGCTTGCGAGTTTATAAAATTCAAACGTAACTCGTTGCGGTATTTCGAGGTGTCGAAACATTGACTCGACACCTTCGTTTTTCCACAAATGGAAAGTGTTTTGCATCACGAATTCGAACGTATCTAACGAATCTAAATTTTCTAAGCGCCGGTTGTTCCGTTCTGCGAAACTCATTCCTAATGTAAATATAGCAATGGCAACGTATGATCTATTCGGTTTCTGTTCAAATACTATGTCTAGTTCACGAATATATTCCAATAAGTTTACGGAATCGGATTTCAAGATGAGATATTCCATAGGCAGTATGTCTAATGAACGCATGTGTAAACCGACAATCGATTTGCGTATCATGGCCATCTTTCCAGTCGTGGTTGTTTTTTCCAAATTAATTAGGTCAATGTATTTACCCGGGTATAAAAAATTCATTGAACGAGGTATTGGCGTACTCGTCTTATCGTGTTGTGAAGCGATGGTTTCGATATTGTACCGAGTCATGTTATTCATCTCATCTAACATTGAGCGACTAGTGTGCAATATATTTTCCATATAGTTTGCGTATTCGTTTATAATCCATTTACGAGCCAAATTTATGCTATTGTCATTTCTGTCGTCGTATAAATTGGATAGACTGAATTTCTCAAGCTTTTGAATTTCTTTTGCGACAGCATCGCGATCGCACCGTAAAGCATCCGTACCATACTGATTAACTTTATAATTCGCTAAAGTCTGATCTAACGCTAGTAAAGTACTTTTTACATTATCAATATATTTGGTTTTTAAGATGTCCAAATAATCTGGATTAACGCCCTTTAATATATTTAAAAGTTCACTAGAGGCAGTTCGCTTGGGATATTCGTTGTCCCCCCAACCTATTGCAACTCTATGACGACGTTGTAATTGAATATCGTTATCTTGCGCTCTACGTACTAATTCTGCAAATTGATGTATGTACGGTTGAAACATCGTTTCGAGTCTATTTTTCCGAGCACTTTTAGATAACGTATTTATTATACTTTCCATTTCCTGTACAGATCTACCGTGCGATACATCCAATTCAATGCCATCATTCGTATATAAATGTGTGGTTTCTCCACCGAACGTTTGTTTCGATTCTTTACATCCTGAAAATACAAAGTCGACATCCATATGATAAGGCACGATAGATTTTTCGAGTAAATGAATAGCAACATCTATTATAGACATTGAGTTTTGTAAAGCATTGATTTTATTCCTTACGTTATATTTTTTATACCCGGAACCATTAATATTATGATACGATTGAAATCTGTTTTGACGCAACATGTAAATATACAACCGATAACGAAGCGATTCCAATTTTAAATATCTGTTATTCACAATAAAGCTTAATGCCTTCCGTCCTTCTTGAACATCGTTTTTATATTTTAAGTAAAGATTATTAATACTTTGTCGATTAGATACCAATTCCATGATATCTTCTAGAATCGGTACGTCAACTGGTTTCAGGTGAAAAATAGGGACGTAATTATACTGGATGTAATGGCCTTTAGCTATACGCATTGTTTTGTCGGCAAATGAGTTCACATCAATTGTGTCGTATAAATTGTTCTCGTTATTCAGAGAATATTCATTTGGACCCATATTCATATAACTACCGTTTTCATTTGCAATGTACGGTATACATTTCATCAATTCTTGAGTATAAATAATTTGTTTAAATTTCACGAATTCCATATTCGGTTTATAAATGTACATATATTTAATTAGAGATTGTATCGCCGCATGTAAAACGGTGCTAGCAACACCTTGTTCTATTTCTCTTTCCACTTCAACTAAACGCGTATATGTGAGTTTGTATTGACTTATTTTTCGATGCAATATCAATTTATCATTATGAATAGTTTTGACCGACTTGAGTAAGATCTTATATTTCAGAGAATAAATGTTGACGTACATAAAAGTCACGTAGATTGTGTACATGCCTATTATATTATCCAACACACTCTGCTCGCCTACGTTATTTGACATTGTTTTTTGCATGGCTCTAACTAATTTAAACGTTGACAAACGATTAAACAAAATTGAAAATGTTGGATACGTACTTATAATTTTTGCAAAATTAATTATTTTTTCTTTGCATTGATCTAGGTTATCGTTCTCTTTAATTTCCAAATTTGTAAGGTTCAATGTGTCCATTGGATGTGACAATACATATTGAAGCCATCTCGCCACGCAAGACGTATATATTATTTTCGTATCGCCTTCCTCCCCCAAATTTGGGTGTGGGGTGAGTGGTAATGTGTGGCCAGCTTGTGCAACAACGTTTACGCCACTTTGTGCCGACGCCACTCCTCCTGGAATTTGTTTTGGCGGTTGTGTTTGTGAGGTAAGGGTGGGATCTGGTTGATTAGATGCTTGTGGAGGGTGAGATGTGCTAGGTGGATATACAATATTAGGTATTGGATGTTGTGTTGTAGGTTCTGGCAGGACGATTTTAAATTGAGGATTAGTTTGTGTAGGTTGTGGCACATTGATTTTAAATGGAGCGTTAGGTTGTGGTGGTTCTGTAGGTTGCAATGGTTGTGGGAACGGCTGGTCATTAGTCACGTCTACTAATGGAAAATTGACGGGTGCCGTCTGGTATGTAATTTGGAGGAGGTCCTTGTGGTGGGATATAACTATTATGTTGTGGTTGAAACGGTGACGATTGTGGTATGTAATTTGGACCAGGCCCTTGCGACGGTGGTGCATATCTATTGGATGGTGTTGGAAACGTCGTCGAGTTTGGTATGTAATTTGGAGCGGGTCTTTGTGGTGGCTGGAACCCTGTCGAGTAATTAACATTTTGACTGGCTCCATTACCGTCATCATTATACTCCATATTATTATCACCACTACCCCATCCGTCATTACCAGGAGGGCCACCTCCGTCATTATTATTATTATTATTTGATCCACCCCTAACAGCATTGGTAACATTACGTAAAGTAAGATCTAATTGATTAATACAGTGTTGCAACCTCTGTAAATTTGTTGACATTTTTTATTATTACTCTTTAGAACAAATATCGATGGATAGGAGTTTTTATACATATTGTTACAACACTATTATACATCTTTTAAAAATAGTAATCAAATTTAAAATGGAAGACACATTAGGAAAAATTTTGGTGTCACAATTATTTCAAATTAAAAACAACCCACATCACACAACCAAGTTTTTTTATTGAAATATTTGTTCATTTTTTTCAATCAATGTACATAGTTAAAAATGAATAATATCTGATATAGATAGGACCTTTGAAATAAACACGTCTGTTGTAGTAGATTCCTTGTAGAAATTGGTGGCTTCTTTGTTAGTTATCAATTTGTCTACTTCGACATAATCAATGTGATCCGATTTTAAAATAGAATGTGCCGTAGGAAATAGATTTGGCATATCGTTATACAATATACTAAGCAGTAATAAAGTTATTTGTTGAAATGTTACAATTTTTAGAAATTCCAAACGATCTGTATTAGTACATCCGTCGTCAGAATCCTTTATATACTTGGATAAATCTCTCTCTATAATATCGTTGCGTACATCGCTCAAAAAGATTGGCACATTCACTTTATCCAGTACGAATATGATCATGAACCATACGTAATGGCCACGAGATGTTCTTTCTATGTAGTCTCCCAAGTCAGCCGAAACCACTGCTACTTGAGGATTTAAGTCGTAAAAATACGAATTCGGAAAAACGAAAGGGCTGTATATATCGCCAAGACCCGCGAAAACTACGAGATAACGTAATAGTTCTTTCGATTTACCCATCATTATGCCTGCTCGCGGCATATTACTGAATATTTTGAGAAGTGAATATACGGTAGATTGCTTTAAAAATGTTCTATAAGCTTCGAATAATAGGTTGGAATCATCGTCACTGAGTCTCGCACTTTGTAAACCAATGACAAACGGTAAATATATTCCGGTGTTTGCATTCCACTTAAAATCTTTCGGCGGTGGAGAAAAGTTTATGAAATTCAGTAAGTAAATGTATACGAAATTGTAAGTATTTGTGTTTCTATATAAATACTTTGCGAGCTCGTCTACCACAGGGCGAAATTTTTCGAATTTTTTTACAGCGTATAAAACATTCGCACAATTCGATATCGCTGAACTAAGAAGACATCTATTATTTATAGCATGATAAAACGTATTAAAATACTCATTAAAATTATTCCAATCTAGATTAAGATTAGAATCGTGAAACAAGGGAAAAGACCCACCTAGTAATTTTTCTGTATCTGATGTTTGACAAATTTCTTTGACATTCACATTGGGTACGATTGGAGTGTTTGTTAACATGCAAGGATCCCATTGACATGGTAATGTAATTTGAGGGTTTAACAATAATTCTTTTAAATCACTATCATTGTGATAAAAATTATATAACATTCCAGTCCTTGTTAAATAAATGTGACAAGGTATGTTATTCAAGTAATCTGATACAAGAAATTCGATTGGCGGTATGTATGGAAATCGTGTTTTGTCTATCGTTCCTTGAAAGATCTGTTCGATAATGTAATTGTGATAGATATTGTGTAGATCTTTATTATCGATGTATATTGTACCAACTGATATTGACAATTGAGATCCTCTCATCATTTTACCATCGGGGGTTACCTTGTCTGGTGTAAATATAAATGGATTTACGAACCATCTATGTAAATCAGTATCGGTACATTGTGCTATAGACTCTTTAATTGAACCGTCGTTATTTATTTCAAACCCTCTCAATGGCAGATTTTGCACCTGTCGTCTATATTTGTAAACATTTGTTGTATTAAAGAAATACAACCATTTTAGAATATTAAATATTTTTATGTGTGGTGGTAATTCATTTGCAAATAAAGATTCCTTATGCATACAGAATAAGACGGCCCAGTGAATTGGATCATTCGAATAAAAATAAAATTCTTCTTGCAAACGTTCGTATTGTACTTGTAGAATCACCTCCTTATTTAGATTTAGTATTTGTGCGATGTCTGTAATTTGTAATGAAATATCATCAACAAGGAAACTATATTTTATGACTCCAGTTGCAAGAACGTCTAAAGTGTCGTTAGTTGCGTTGTTAAAAATAAGTTTCCACGTGTAACGACAATAAGTAACAATTTCATCGTAATTATTTGTAGTATATTTGCTAGATTGATCTAATGGCCAATTACCTTCTACGATATTGGGTACCACACTTTTTACGTTATTCGTGTCATCATTGAAATTTGCCGAAAAATGTTGTGAATATCGAAATCCTAACTTATTTGCCCCTTTATGCCGATGTCTACGAGTACTTTTGTTTGATTTATTATCAATAGGTGTCTCCACGATATCAATATCCATTTTAGGAGTGGACTCGGACGTTTCCTGTGCAGTTGTATACGTATCACTTGTGTGTGTTGTGCTTGCCAAGATATCAGACGTTCCTAGTGCAGTTGTATACGTATCACTTGTGTGTGTTGTGCTTGCTGACGTAACGTCTCCCATGACAACAGGTGTGATGGGTGTACTCGTTCTTGGTGCATAATGTGGTGTTGTAACATTTTCTATTGGTGAAATATCTCCTGGTATGACATGAGTTGTTGTTGTTGTTGATGATGCCGAGGTGTTAGATGCGATAGTTTGGGAAGTATTAGAAATTGAACTTGAAATTACTGGATTTTGAACTGTGTGCGTTTTTTGACCCTTCCGTTTAGTCTTTGTTTTTTTACTAACGCGTCTTGGCGGTTTTTCCACCGTGCTTCGATTTGGATCGACGTCGATTACTTCGAATCTCGGAGCCTCGTTTAGTGTTTGATATGTCGTGTCTAAATCAAAATATATTTTTAGTTTTCCAATAACCCACTTTAAAATCTATATGTAAGACAATAGCTAAACATTCGGTAAGTACGATTTTAATTAATCGATTGAATGTTGGTAAAATTCAAAATGCATTACACGAAGTGTTAGAGACCAATTTAAAAGAAAGACTCGTACCGGAATTCCGTAACATATTGTTTCTGTTTGTTATGTACATTGTCAGAACATATGCAGATATTTGGAATGGTGATTATTCTCTAGTTATTAAAAAGCTACAAAATGTATGTGAAAATAACTTTCAAAGATTTAATCACGCATCTTATAATGACGTCATGCGTGCACTAGAAACTACTGAAAACAATATACGTATACAAATAATGCATATAATACTAAACGTTGTACTCCAATCTTTATTGAAATATATATCGGTTTACGATATTACACGGTTGGAAACTTTTCGACATAATATAAATGATCCAAATTCATTAGCTTCGTTCGGAGAGAATGTATTGGTATATCCGGAAGATTACGTAAACTATGCCATTTCAAAAGCTGACAATAAATATAATAGAACGTACAATAGTTTAACGATTACAGCGCTGAATATGGTGAAAAATTTATATATACAATGGGTAACGCCGGTTTCACATTTAACCTCCATCGATATACCGAATCTTGAATGTGTCAAATCGTTTTTAGAACTGAAACATACCGTTGAAAACATTTATAAACTTTCATTTAATAATAACGAAAGAATTCAAGTAATGTATAAAGCTGCTAGTGCGAGATATTTAAAATTAGAAGCATTTAAATATCGCATGTCAATATACGATTTGCGTTTAAAAACATATTTACAATACGACAACGAAACTGTAAAAAATAGGCGGGACATATTGTCAAGAGCAATTAGCGTTATAGAAGTAGCTATCTATTTTTTAGAAAAGTCTTTAATACCGTATAACATGGATTACTCATTTTTAAGTAAACACGCAATTTGTAAAGACGACAGCAAGTTGGATTATGGTGGGGATACCAGTTCATTATATACTAACGACGATCTCGAAACATCACCGTTATACGTAGTGCAACGTGAAGAATTGGAATCGAAATTCCAGGTCCTCGAGAAAAATAGAATTTATAAATTCGACCAGTACATTAACGGTTACAAGGACCAACTGATGGAAAT